TTGGGGATGCGGAATACTACTGACAAAACGGCTGCCCAACATACTGACAAACTGCAAGTTACAAAAAGTTTCTAACCACGCTTCTTGCTTCGTTTATTCATAAATTAACTCGTGTAATGTTCTACTGTATCTTTAAATTCTCTCAAAATTAATTTTTCGCCTCTCGGATGGCTCATGGGCAGCATACAAGCTTCCAGTGGTATGGTCCGGAGTTCGATTCCCGGTCGAGGCACAGATAAATTTGTAGCTTTCTTTTAAAACCGCCCCAGTTTTTTTTAGCTGTTGACGAAGAAAAGCTCAGGTATGCGGATATTGCTGGTCACGGTATAGGGAACACATCATAGTCGCTCTTATTCCAAGCATGGAAATTTATTCGTAACTACGCCCCGGCATGGGGACACCTTGAGCTAGCCGACAAAGTCGGACTATCCAAGCACCAAATGGATACATTAAATTATTATTTAAACGTATTATTTACAAACATAAAATACTGTCTTCCAATAATCCTAAATTGTTTTCTTCATAACTCAAAACTTTTTATTATGTAACTGAAACTTAACTTTCTTATCTTTACATGGAATTATATATTGCAATTTACGAAATAATTATCACATCTAACCGTGAGTCTGAAAGTTTAACATCGTTTTCTTTTTTCTTTGACAGCTATATAATCAACTATTGAATTACGTATGTAATGTATCTTGTAAGTCTTCATGGAATTTTCTTATTGACTTTTTTTCGAGATATCTGGGTATCCATAGATATGTCTTCCATGGAGAGGGGCCGTTTAATTCTCTCTCCATTTCCGCAGATTAAACAAGATAAAAATTTAGTAATATAGATAAGTCATTATCAGCCCAAGAAAGATCAATCCGTGTATCACGGCGCAATCCGTCCACCCTTGTCTAAGCTTAGGAACAGAAAAGATTGGCAACTGTCGTTAACGTGTATATTACATTAAAACCATAAACGGAGCTCTTACGCGTATTCTCTCCTTTTATTTCCAAGTTCGCTATTACTTGTAAAATCGTAATATGACTTGGCGACGTGGAGTGTGCGTCCGGCCTCCCGGGTGAGGCATTCTAGGAAAAGAAGGCGGGAGCCAAGTGGTTGCGATAAGCCACGCCACACAGCAGGACGTGCGAGTTGCTTCTGTGCTCTTCTTGGTAACAGCGCCCTGGGTGACGGAAGAGAAACCTCTTCCCACGCAGAGAGTGGAAAAAAGGAACGCAGCACGTCCTGTGCTGATACACCTACTACTTCACAGCTTCTACTACTTCACAGCTTCTACTACTTCACAGCTTCTACTACTTCACAGCTTCTGCAATGACCTTATATATTTTACGAATCTTATTTAGTTATGTATTATTACCACACTAAATAATTATGAGGTATTCATTAATTGTATGAATGAAATCTGAAATACATTGTGGTTTGCAAGTATCTTTCACACCACAGTTACATGGTTGAAAACTCACTGTCTTATGTTCTTGAAAAAATTGATTTGATTTATTTTAGCAATGAACAGTAAGTCTGAGATAAGCAAATACATCATGGAAGAAGACTACATGATCACTTTAACTTAATTAACGCTGTACATTTTAATTTAATATAAGTACTATTAAATAATGCACAAATTCTCACACACGTTTCCTCAAAGAGGATCCAAATACCTAGTGTCGAAACGTAGTGTAATTTAATTCGATGTGGCCATGTATAAACGATCTTATTTAAAATACGATTTTTTAATAAAAGTTTGTTATTAGAAGTGATAAAAACAAAAAAACCCTCATGAAGTACACACACAACATCACTTTTTATTCGTTTATTTTCTATTATACTTCTTCACAGTATAGATAAATAACGTACATCCGTAACATATGGAATGGTACAGTTCTTTTATTCTAAGGCTCCCACCGTACAGAATATTTGAGATGTACGATGGGGTTTTAGAACAGAAGCGCTGTGTACCTTTTGTGATCACAATAATATTTGTATTGCCTTTACGGTCTCGTGAACATGAACAAGAAACTTTGAAGTTCCCTCAAAATCTGTGTCACTTTAATATTATGTGCCACCTACACTTTAAAATAGATTGTGTTTTTCTAGACGTTTAAATCAGCACCGTACATCCCTTCACAGTACTCTGCAAATGGATGATTTACTACATAGAGCGGAAGCGACGTGAAAAATTCCTAAGGTCTAAATCTAATTTGTGTTTCATTTAGTGTGCCTGGTGGACACGAGTGTGAATGCTTCATGTACTTCAAATATGTGGTACGTAAAGAACTGCAGTGCATTGCTCGTTTTCTTAATTCCACACTCAGCGGACATCTGAATGTTGGGTGTGCGATTGAGAAACCAAGCGGCGCACGCTAACTTCATCCAGATCTCCAGCTCCTGCTCTGATCCGACTAGGCATTGCACGCACAATAAGGGTGTACATCTCTTCTCTTGTAAATGCTCCAAAATGTTGGTAATGCCGGAACATTTAGATTTATTTAGTTAAAAAAAAGGAAAACTGCATGTGATGTATGGAGGAGAAGATTATCTGCGCACGTTTTCTTGAGTTCCAGAATCCCCTCCCGTCATTTGAACTATAAATAGTTGAAAGATGAGTAAAAGTTTAAAATCAATTAAAAATAAATTTTAAAAATCGCGAGCTTAGCAATATTTGAAAAAATAGACACTTTCGTTTCCGAGTTATAGAAAACTTGTTTGCATCGGTAAACGAATTGCAGATATTTTTCTCCATTGCTAAAAAAGTAGTAACTCTTCCCCTACCATTACAAGAAAAATGAGAGTTTAACAAAACGCGCATTTTCAAGCGCATAATCAAGCTACATTTACGTCCAGGAGCAAAACAAGGGGCAATCTCAGCATTTGCTGAGATGGAAAGGAAACTGGACAAAAACTTGATTGAGATGGGCGTCACTTACCTGGAAGCTTTAGTACATTATTTGTTACAAACATTAAGTCTTTTTAAAAAATTATACAATAAAAATGTAAACTAATTTAATATATCACTGTTTTGTTAAAATAAACTTTAGTTTTCTTTTTGAAAATCAGTGTAGTGTCTAATTGTATAGAAGCATTTATGCATGAGAAAAGATTTTACTTTTAACTTAAATTTGTGAACAGACTTCAATTGCTTAATGTCATCTGGCAATGCATTGCAAAGTAACGTACATGTATTGTATGTGGATTTCTAATAGTGAGCTGTTGATACTGACACTTGATGAACGTGATTTTTACTACGTGTTGTAATTATAAATATCAGTATTGCATAAAAATATGTTCCCACCGTTAAGTAAGTAACTTTTGACAAGTATTATAAATTCGTAAATGTATAGGCAAAGCAGTGGTAAGATGCCAAGCTCAATGAAGAGAGGCTTGCAGGGATCACGCGGATGACATTTTTCGTTATTCGAATAATTTTCTTTTGCAATCTAAAGGACTGAGTACCACACTTAATGTAGTGTTTAATTTTGTTACATGAACATTCCATTTTAGGTTTGGCTGAATTGAGAGACCTAGACATTTTGTTACCCGAACATCAGCTAATTGCATATTGTTCATTGTCAATGGAGCATGCGATTGCTGATTTGAAAGATAAAAATGCATTGAAATTTGTTCCTTCGTCAACTATTACTTTGTTATTACAAATCCAATTTGAAACTTCTAAAATCGTACTAGTTATTGTTTCTTTTTCTCTCGCCCCCTCTCGCCTTTAATGATGTTTTTAAGTATTCGCCAGCGCAGGAGGAATAAATAATTCGAGTGTAAATTTAATCTTTATTGCTTTTTTTTTCAAATTTCTTACAATTATTTCACATTAATGTTTAGAATTAGAACTATGCTGAAATGGGTATACATTAATGCTGAATGAAAAAATCATCAGTGCTGAAAGAAAGAGTTAATAGGTAAGCAGAAGTAGTAAATTTATATTGCAATGTATTTACTTATTTGATAGGCTTATAAAAAGTAATAAGTAGGAGCTTTCAATTTACGTATTTTTGCCATGTTTCGGCCGGACTTATGATACTGTAAGTAAAAGTCAATATTTTTATATTAAATTATATGTTAACAACCATTTTTGGATTATTGAATATTGCAATTAAATGGTTACTTGTTGTAAATGTTAAATATTGTAAGTAAATTGACAGTTGGGCGTATTGACTTTTCCCTGCTGATCGACGACCTAGTCCTTAGTTCAGAGGGAGGTCACCTTGCATTCGGATCGATGCATATTGCGAGTGCAATGTCATCTCGCAGCTCAGGATGTCTCCAATAAAGGCAAGATCGTCCTCAATCGCTATAACCGAATGCTTGCTATGTATAATAGCGGCAATCCAACACAGGAGTGGATCCCATAATTTGGTTAAGCTAACCGCCTTAATACTTCAGACTAACCGGTCCCAGCCCAAATGTGGCGTTGTGGCCCGGGGCAAATGTGGCGTTGGGCCTCGTTCCTACATTTGCCCAAATCTATGCTGCAATGTAGTATACGGTACAACCTAAATAAGTCGAATAACCGGCACTTCGCGCCGTTTCGTCGTTAACTAAGGAGTTGGAATTCTGGAGGCTTTCTTAAAACGTCATGTCTTATAAAAGTGAATTGGTAATTATGCGTTGGATAGACTCAAGGATGTTTATAGTGAACGCGAGGGCCGAAGGCCCGAGCCTCGCCGTGACTTAGATCCGGGCGAGCGAAGCGAGAAAACTTGCCTTTGAAAGTAAATTGTCGTTACAATGCGGCGGGGACAAAGTGTATGAAGGGCGAACCATGAAAATCGCCTATCTTTAAGTTTTATTCATTTCTATTAGAGCACGTACAGTAATTAGGACTTGAGCCTCGCCGCCATGCTTCTTTAAGGGTGTACCGTCTACTAAACTTTAACCCAAATCTATTCTTCAACAAGGTGATCATTCTATATTGGAAGTATGATTTTTAGGAAGCTCGTCGATGGAACAGGACAGGCTCCCCCCAGAACACTCACCGTTTCCAGGCTCAACCGATGTGAGGTCAAAGCACTTGCTCCTCTTCGGCCAAAGGTTCTATGGTACCTTTTCACTGCGATTGCAACCTGCTACCTGTGAACTATTCACCGTATTTCCTGTTAAAATTTCTGCATCAGTTTTATAGTAGGTGGCTAGACCTGAAAATTAAAATTCACAATTTCCTTAATTAAATATTTTAGTTTATTGATATTATTATATCCTGACGTATTAAATCTATTCAATGCACTACTGCTTTCTCAACTCATGTTTTAACATTTTTAGAATATGATTTTAGTTGCCAATCTATATTTCTTATTAACTTATTAATTTCGTAATAATTTGGTAAGTTAAAACAATTTTTTTTTGTTTTCGCTTATCACTATTCAACATTAGAACTTATACAACTAGCATTCCAGATTTTAAAATTTTCTAACAACCTGGCAAGAGCAAGGGATATACAAGAACGAGAAAAAAAGGCAACGTGGAGACCCAAGCGACAGTGATGTGAAGTGCAGCTACGAAGCACAGAACGCTTACACTTCAAGTTTCACAAGCACTTTTTCCACGAATTACTTCTTCAAATCACATCAAACTCAATTTTGAGCGTGAACACTCGCTATTCTTTTTGCTCACCTTTCCCTTCACTGAACTTCGAGAAGAATCACCAAAAACTTCTCCGTAACCTACACATCGTTCACTAATCACTTTCGCCACTGGCCACGAAATGAACGAACGTTGGGCAGTTGCGGAGCGCGCTGGGCAGTGATTGGCCGGACGCAGCAATTGGCTCCCACTTTCCCAGAGAGTGAACACGAGGGCGGACGTGAACATAATCCAAAGAAGAAGGACCAATTTAAAAATGGATGATCTGAATGAATTATAATGAATATTACTAAACAACTGTATCAACCTATGTATTTTTAATCGTAATACATTTCTGATAGATTCGTTTCAAAAATGTTAATGAGATATATCTCCTACTTTCAGTAGAGTATAAAGAACGTCACTATTAGTACTAACCATAACGAATGTTGTCATTTATGAAACAACATTAACGAAATTATATGTAAACATATATTTACATACGCCTACACTAATGATTTAATATTATTTATTGTAATATTTATATTGACGGAATGTTATTTTATTAAAAGCACGTATGTTTTTGTTGTCTCATTTTTTGTTGTCAACTTTTTGCTAAACACATTTTAAATGAAATGAGAGAATATAAATTAATATCAAAACCTTAGTTTCGTACAGAATTTTTGTGGAGGTAAATGTGGAGCCATTCCTGCAAAAATCGTTTTAGCGTTTTTTAAAATGCGTAATGTGTAGCTAATTCATCAAAAATCTTTTAACGCATTTGTGTTCGTAAATGCTTCAATTATTATATACACTGTATTCCGTTCGAAAAGTGAGGGGAAAAATTGGAGACGTTTTTGAGAATATGGCGAATGATCGTTTCTGAAAATGCAGAATCTTCAGCTAGTTTTTTCAAAAAATGGATGTGTTTTTGAGAAACTGTATATAACACTATTTAAAGCACATGCACTCATGAATATAATAATTTGAGTATATTGCCGCTAATATAAATATTAACAAGTCAAAAAATATACATTTTCAATTTAAAAAGAAGAGAATAGCGCAACATGGCTATTTTGTCATCTCATAGAGTCCGTTTACCCCTTCCTACCAAAAGTTTAAAGAAAACGTTTTGAGTCGTTTTTGAGAATTTATTTTTTTAATTTCTTTAAAATTGCATATGCAAGCAGAACAAATTTTATTTCAAGGCAAAATTAATGTTTTAGTGTTATTGGTCCTGCTTATGCTACTGAAATCTTTTACTGTTTATCTTGTTTATAAATGATTTATTGACGTGGGTACAGGAAGCGGATACAGCGGCTCCGGTAATTGATGGCCTGAAAATTCCCGGACTACTATATGCTGATGATTTAGTTTTATGTTCGGAGACGATTGACGACTTACAGAAGAGTTTAAATATTCTAGAACGGTATAGTGAGACATGGGGACTGAAAGTAAATATTCAAAAAACGAAAGTAGTTGTCTTCAAGAATGGGTTTATCTGGGGTATCTAAGAGAAATGGTACTACGCTAGGGAAGAAATTGACTGCGTCAAAACATTTACATATCTTGGTGCAAAATTTTCCATGAATGGAGGATGGAATAATCACATATTGACGGCTCACAGCATAGGAAGAATTGCCCTCAAAGAAATCGTTTGCGCAGTGCGCAGGGTTCCGGAATTGCCAGAAAAAGTGTGCGATACAATGTTCAAATCGTTAGTTTTCCCAACTATGAACTATGGGGCAGAAATCTGGGGAGTGGATAGAATAGATCGACTAGAAAGCATCGAAACAGATTGTTTCAAATTAATTCTAGGAGTTTCTAGATGCGCAGC